GCCAGGGATACTTACCTGCAGTGCCGTCGCTCCAGCTTCTTCTTCGAGGTACCTGCAGCACAGCGCCATCTTCACAGGTTAGTACCTGGCATACAAGAGAGAGAGAGAGAGAGTTCTTCTTCTTCCTCTTCTCAGTCCACCATCTCCCTCTCACCCTCTCGTTATCTGACTTCACTGCATCAGCAGACTATGAGAGAGAGAGAGAGAGAGAGAGAGAGCTTGGTGACATTTTGGATCCAGACTCGACATTGGACTTCAGACATTTTGACGAGGGATTATGTGGGACTTGTAACGAGACTTGGTGCTGACGACTTTCCCATCTCTCCCCTCCTCTTCGTCTGATCCCCTCCTCTTCGTCTGTGCATGTCTGGACCTGGCGCCCTCTTCCTGTGTATAGCGCCAGGCCCTTCACACCGTTTGGTGAGAATGATGTATGTTTGGTCTGCTTTGCAACATTGATTGGGCTAGTCGTTAGTATTCTAGTATTCTGCTGCGCTATCTTGCACAACGTGATAGAGGTCAGTCCCGGTCAGGTCAGGATTTGTATCTAAGCACCATTCTGTATGTATCGAAATGCACATTGCTTGTTGAGATTCCACTTGCATTGCAGTGTCCATTCAGTCCTTTTTATCACATTGTGGATCCTCGATTTTACATGTACATCGCCCAACTGGGCATGTAACAGTTGGGCGAAGCTGACGATCTAAAGGTGGAACCTGGACGCGGGTGCGACGTGGAGCCGAAGGTACCGGCTTGCCTTGCATCTTGCGTTCGTAGCATGCGAGAACATCCAGAGTTGTTGCTTGGAATTCCGCACGGGTCAACCAACGGTCAGCTTTGTGAGTGCAGTACGCAAAATGTACCAAGTACTCGGTTGGCCTGTTGCCGTAGCGTTGCTTGGAGATAATGTCGCCGACCTCCTGAAACCGTCCATAGAGGGTGGGTCTAGCGATTGTCGCCCGGGAAAATCGTCATGTTCCGCGGGCATCTAAAGAGCCAACTTGGAGCAATGAGAGACCAGGTAGATGGGCAAGCGGGCGGGCACTTGAATGGTGAAGGAAGGTCCATCGGGTGCACGTGGGTGCCACGATTGGCCAGGGCCCCATCCATTTCGGGAGGAGCTTGCGAGAGATATCTTGTTCAAGGCTGAATCCCGCGGCGGAAACCCAAACGAGATCGCCGGAGCGGAATGGGCAAGGAAGACGCTGGTGATTGGCCTGTTGGCTCATGCGTTGCTGCGTCTTAGCCATCTGGTCGCGTGCCTTGACAAGTAGCTTTTGCATCCGATGCAAGAAAAGAAGATGGTCGTCGATCCCGACCGTTCGCGGAATGATTGTGTCCAACGGAGAAGTGATCGGTGAGCCGTGCTCGAGCTCGAAGGGCGACATCCCGATAGCAGGGTGGATGGACGAGTTGTATGCCAACTCGACATCCGGCAGCCGCTCAACCCAATCCTTTTGGTCAGGATGGATGGTAGTGCGATGGAGAACCCGTGCGGTTTGATGCGCCCTCTCCGTTTGGCCATCCGTTTGGGGGTGGCGAGCCGAACTTGGCTTGAGAGATGAGCCCCATCGTTTGATGAGCACCAACCAAAAATCGGACATGAACCGAGTGTCACGGTCGCAGACGATTTCCTTGGGGTAACCCTTGGTTCAAATCCAACCGGCGTAGAAAACATCGGCCAACTCCGGTGCCTTGGCATGATAGCGGCAAGGCAAAAACATGGCGAACTTGGTGAGTCGGTCGACCACCGTGAGAATCCCATCCACACCGGTCTTGTGCTTGGGGAACAGCCCAGTAATGTCCATGCTAATCGCTTCACTTTGGCGCAAGGGGACCAATAACGGTCGCATCTCTTGTGGGATTTGCAGCGTCGGCAAACCTCGCATGACTCGCAATAGAGCGTGACATTGCCGAGAAGGCCGGGTCACCAAAATCGCTCGTGTAATTGACTCCAAAGTGTCCGGTGGCGGGAGCACCGTGGAACTCGCCAAGAAGCCGTGTACGCAAGTGAGAGTCACTCGGTACGCAAATAAGGTCCTTCCCCCGCGTGTGGACAAGCAAGTACCCCTCTCGGATCCGGTAGTGAGAAGGCGCCGGATTAGGAGAGGAGCAATTTGCGTACTTGTCGCGAAACTCGGGGTCGGCTTGGTAGTCGAGGATGAAGCTGTTCCGCTCGTCGTCGCCGACCTCGAAGGTTGAGTAGACTGCGGTACAATGATCCGAACGTCGTGAAAGAGCATCCGCAAAACGGTTCGACTTTCCCGAAATATGATCGGGAAAGAAGTCAAATTGGTCGATGAAATCCATCCAATGGGCGATGGTGCTATTGACGGTGTCTTGGGTCTTGTAGAAGACCAACGGATTGTTGTCCGATACCCATCAGAATTGACTTCGACCAAGGAGGAAGGGCCGCCACCGCTTGAACGTGTGGACGAAGACTAGGAGTTCCTTCTTGCGTGCATCGTCAATGGAATGCACGATGGGCACTTTCTTGCTGGAGTACTCGACCGGGTGCCAGTCCACGCCATCGTGTTGTCCGAGGACGGCACCAATGCCATAGCCGGACGCATCCGTAGTCACAAAATGGCCCAAGTATTCCAGCGTTTGTCGTGGTTGGCTTTGTACTTGGTGCTGCGGAGCGTCTCCAACACTCGTCGAAGGTGCTCAAGATGATCCTCCAATGACCGGCTATAGACTAGAATGAAGTCTAAGTAGACCAGCAAGAAATGGTCCAACATCGCACAGAACTCATTGGTCATTGCCGCTTGAAAGGTCGTCGAGGCGTTGGTGAGGCCAAAAGGCATGACCACCCACTCAAAATGCCCATACCGCGTATTGAACGCGGATTTATAGTGATCGTTCGACCGAATTAAAATCTGATGGTATCCCGACCTCAAATCCAACTTAGAAAAGTACCTTGCACCGCCCAATCGCTCACGAAGATCGTCGATAAGAGGAAGAGGCCCCACATTCTTGACGGCTTCCGCGTTGATCGTAGATCCTTGTTCTTCTTCCGCACGAATAGAATTGGTGCTCCATATGGGGAGCTACTAGGGCGGATCCAGCCCTTGTCCAACAAGTCATCGAGTTGCGCACGGAGGACCGTAAGCTCCTCCTCGCTCATGCGGTAAATGCAACCTTTCGGCGGCACGGCACCGGCCTCAAGAATGATCTCGTGAGAGATCGGCCGATCCGGGACCACACCGGTAGGTGACTCGAAGATGTCGGCGAACTCGTCAAGCAACCGCACCAAACGGGGGTCCGAAGACAAGTTCATGGGTGAAGAGTCGGCTACTGCGACGGCCCGTAGGAAGCATAGGCCGATTTCGTCAGGCTGCTCCTAAGCGCAAGTAGCCCGGAATGACGTGGCCGTCACCACTTGGCATCGGATCAAAGGATGCGGAAGAGAATTAGTACACGGCACTTCGGCGCCGAAAGCGTCACGAACGGTAAGAGTCCGCCGGTGGAAGAATGTGATCCACACTTGCAAGCCAAGGCATTCCCAAAATAATGTCGAAGTCCGTGTCCAAAATGTCGAACGCCACCGGTTCGCATGCATAAGGTGCAAAATACACCGGTACGGCCTCGATGTAGCGGTCGATAAGTTGCTGCGTCCTTCCGTCCGCCAACTTCATCGCCGTCGGGTTTGCCTTCCTCCGAACTTGTGTGCCAAGGCCAGCCCTTTGCATAAAGGCTTGGCTCATAAAATTGCGAGACACGCCGCTATCCAGCAAAGCGTTGTAGGGCGCTTGCCCAACTTGGATGCGGACATAGAGGAGCGGTGCGTTGTTGTCATCATACCGCTGCTTGCGAAACTCGCTGGCCACCTTGGTAACATACGCAAGGATGTCCCCCACCGCGACTTCGTCATCCTTGGCGAAGTTGGTGGTGCATAAAAGGATAAGTATGTGTGAAGATGAGCGCATAATGCGGCACATTGCGGTCCTAGCAGGCGGCCCGTGGTCGGGAGAGGAAGCCATGCGAAATCCTCGGACGTAAGCGGGTCCAATACCTCTATGTTGAACTCTCGCGCCAAATCCCATGACGAACCACTTAAAGACAATAAGTCACCGCTGGCGGACGGAGAAGATGCCGCACACACGTCTTATCCTTGAGCATGAGTACCGAGCGTAGGAACGAGCCGGGCAGCATAGTCCTCATAAGAAAATAGAAGAGGAGGACTATCAACTTCTGCATGTGCCTCGGAACGAAGGGCGGTCACCCGCGAAGCGACCGGTTCCGAAGGCGTCAAGAGTGTCGTCGAGTTACTCTCGACGGTGCTCAATTTCCCAATTTGCCTTTGCGTTTCGACGGGCAGCACATTGTGTCGTGGAGATCGTTGTTACACCACACACAATAGCGGAATCTCGTGCGTGCCTTCCGTAATGGGACCATAGGGCTGGAGCTGCTGCGCAGGGCCTGGGGCTAGATGCGGTGTTTATCTTCGCCTTGCCGCGTCCTCGACCTTTGCCGGGGCGGCCACCATCCCGCGAGGCTGCGAGTCTGTCCCCTTCATTGGCAGACACGGCCTCGCTAGTTTGGTCGTTTGGCGTTGTCGCCGCGACCAAGGCCACTTTCGATGGATGCTGATCTCTGCTTGGGCCTGTCGGAGACAAACGGTGGAGGTTCTTGGTCTCCTTGTTCGTGACAACGATTTGCGCGGCCTTGTTGAAAAGCTCCGCCATTGTCGTCAGGGTGTCCTCAACATGAGTCAAGGCATTGCCCAACGTCCGACACGACCTCGAGATGGAGTAGTGTTTGACGGCCTTGAAGCCCATTGGAAGGTCTGGGACAGATGTCAAGCGTTGGTACTCGGCAATCCAATCAACACTCGGCAGAGTGCCCTTGTTCGTGACAATGATCTGCGCGGCCTTGTTGAAGAGCTCCGCCGTTGTCGTCAGGGTGTCCTCGACGTGAGTCGAGGCATTGCCCAACGCCGAAGACGACCTCGAGATGTAGTGTTTGACGACCTAGAAGCCCATTTGAAGGTCTGGGACGGATGTCAAGCGTTGGTACTCGACAATCCAATCAACATTCGGCAGCGTGCCTTGTTCGAAGGTCATCAGCTTGTCCATTGCCTTGATCTCTGGCGGCTCTACTTGGAACCGCTTATGCCACGCCGCCTTTAGATCATCCCGACTGATCTTGGTATGCAAGTCAGCAGCCACCACTCCGTGCTTGGACAAGAGATTGTCCAACCATGCTTGACACGCACCCCCCGACCGGGAGTATAAGTACGGGTAGTGCTTGTGTTCGCTGACGTGGTGGAGCTGCAACTTGAGAGCGAACTTGCAAAACCATGGAATCGGGTCCGTCTTCGTCGAGTCGCGGAAGATTTCGTGATCATTGAACCTTGGAGTCGTCTCGCGCGGTTCAAAACTCGAGTGGGTGGCGGCAGTACAGATCCGCTGCTCCAACTGTTGCGTTGCGGTTTGCTGTAACTGCACGCCGTCCTTTAGGGATCGGACGTCAATCTCCAATGCCTCGAGGCGATCGGAGGTGTTGGAAGGGGTGACATCGGGGGCGGCGACGGGTCGCTGCTCCAGCTGCCGGAGGCGACTGTGGACTTGAGCCAACGCGTCGTCGAGGCTGTGGATGTCCTGCTGTGTAATGCATGTTGCCAGGAGGTCCGTAAGATGGGAGAGTAGAGCGATCTTGTTTCAACTCTTCCATCTTGCCATTCTCGGCCTCGGCCCGCCAGTCCGCTGCCATTGTGAGCAAAGCTCGCTCTCCGCTGAATATCTTCTCGCGTCGTTGAATTCGTTCTTCATCGGCAGCCTCTGCTGCTGCCTCGTCGTGCTGGCGCTGCTGTTCGATTGCCAACAGACATGCCTTCTTGGAGTCCTCTGCCTTCTGCTTTGCTGCGGCTGCTACTGCAAGCGACCGTTGCTTGGCTTCGGTAATCAGAAGCAGCATCCGGGGCTGATCGGCCTCGTCCGTTTCCCCGAACTTCTAATTCATCACGGCTCTTTGCGAGCGCATGACCATAGACCAGGCTGAGGGCCTGCTGACATGGCACTGCCTGCTGCTGACGTGGTCTGCTGACGTTGCAACTCACCAATGCCGCGCAGGGGGTACCCGGAGACAGATAGAGAAGATAAGACCAGAGGCGGCAACAACATAGGTGGGGTGGGGTGGGTGGGATAAATCGCCCAGATAAGGAGCCACTAATCAAAAGGAAAAGTTTGAACTTTGCAAAAACAATTCGAGAAAAAGAAAAAAAATACTCGTTTGCAAGTTCAGTAGGCCTCCCCATTCCCCCTGAAGTGCGAAATTACCAAGGACAAAAAATTCAAACTTTTAGACTGCAAATGATTTTCCGATAAAGAATTTCGAAAATAAAATACAACAAACTATTTGGAATTACTCAGTAGTATGGATTCCGTGCGTCTGGGCCCAAGCCCTCCTCCGTCCAAGCACAGATTCGAACCGGCGACCTAGGCCTCAAGAGCCAAGTCTCTTAACCACTACAGCCAGGACACGGTGTTCAAAAGTGGAACCGTACCGGTCGTGATATCCACCCCACCCCTGCAAGGCTGTAGTGTCCAACTCAACACACACCACACACAACACCCACGGACACGGCAATTCCTGTACACTTCGCTCTGCAGTCAGCACGTAACCCCCGCTGGTACTCTTACCCGCTCACTCAGACGAGACTTATCAATGCCCGCGGTTCACGGGCGCTTCCACAGTAGTATGGATTCCGTACGTCTGGGTCCAAGCCCTCCTCCGTGCAAGCACAGATTCGAACCGGTGACCTCGGCCTCAAGAGCCAAGTCTCTTAACCACTACAGCCAGGACACGGTGTTCAAAAGTGGAATTGTAGTTTGGAGAATGACAACTGCAAGAGGGATTTCCCGTACCGTTTTCAGAAAAAACGAATTTCGGGAAAAAAATATTCCGGATTTCCAAATAACGGGAAATTGCAAAAGGAAATCGAAATTTTCAAAAAAAGATATTCCGGATTTTCAACAACGAAATTTTGAATTTTCAGAAGAAAAACGAAAACGGAAATTTCAGGTGCTGCGCTATTGCGATTTTCCACAACAGAAATAGCGGGAAAACAAAATCCAAGAAAAGGAAAAAAGTTTGATTTTCGGCAGTGAGGTCAAAATCGTGATTTTAGGGGCTAACTAGTGTGCTCTAATCAATCAATCAACACTAATCACCAACCTAGTCGCCACACACGTGTCAGATCAGGTTGTCCTGATTAACGTGCGGTGTTCCGATTTTCCACAACAGAAATAGCGGGAAAACAAAATCCAAGAAAAGAAAAAAAAATCGATTTTCGGCAGTGAGGTCAAAATCGTGATTTTGAGGGCAGTGCTCTAATCAATCAAGCAACACTAATCAGCTACCTAGTCGCCACACACGTGTCAGTGAAATCTCAACAAGCAACATCCTGATACATACAAAAATGGTGCTTTATAGCGCAGTAGAAAGACTTCGATACAAGTCCTGACCTGACCGGGACTGACCTCCTTCACGTAGTACAAGATAGCGCAGCAGAATGCTAGAATACCAATGACAAACCCAATCAATGTTGCAATGCAGACTAAACATACATCATCATCATCACAAGGTGTGAAGGGAGCCTGGCGCTACACACAGGAAGAATGCGCCAGGTCCAGATCATGCACAGACGAAGGGGAGGGAGACAAACGAAGAAGAGGAGGGGGGAGATGGGAAAGTCGTCAACACCAAGTCTTCGTTACAAGTCCCAAATAAATCCTCGTCAAAATGTCTGAAGCCCAATGTCGAGTCTGGATCCAAATGTCACCAAGCTCTCTCTCTCTCTCTCATAGTCTGCTGATGCAGTGAAGTCAGGTAGCGAGAGGGTGAGAGGGAGATGGTGGACTGAGAAGAGGAAGAAGAAGAACTCTCTCTGTCTCTCTCTTTCACGTGCCAAGTACTAACCTGTGAAGTTGGTGGTGTGCTGCAGGTACCTCGAAGACGAAGCTGGAGCTATGGCGCTGCAGGTAAGTCTCCCTGGCCTCCACCCAATCTCTCTCTCTCCCCAATACTACCCTAGCTCCTACAAGCGCCCAGCGCTGAAGACTACTGCTAATGCTACTAGAGCCCAGCACTGAAGACTACTGCTAGCGCTACAACTACTCCTGCAGCGCTCCTCCAGAGTGCTGCTGCCGACTCCTGAAGACTACCTCCTGCCTCCTGTACTGCACGTGAAGTGCCTTAAGTACCTAGGAACTACCTGCATCCTCAGGGAGGGCCAGTCCTATATAGTGCTGGCCCATCCAGGAGGCTGCTCTTGCCAATGCCGGAACATGCCAGACCTTGGTGTTGAAGCTCAACCAGGGGTTGTCTTGAAAACAGGCCCAAAATGGCCTGTGCTAAAACCCTGGTTTGGTGCCTGACTTTCAGGGCAGGTGGAACTCATGAGGGCCTGAAAATGGCCCTCAGTTTCAGGCTGAAAAGACTCAGGGCCAGAAAGGCCCTGATTTAGGCTGAAACGACACAGGGCCTGTAGGCCCTTGTTTTCAGGCTTTCAGGCTGAAACGACACGGGGCCTGTAGGCCCTTGTTCTCAGGCTTTCGGCCTGAAAACGTCACGGGCCTCAAAGTGGCCCGTGCAGCCTGTTGCAGGCGCAGCATGCAACAGAGTGTGTGTGTGTGTGTGTGTGTGYGTGTGTGTGTGTGTGTGTGTGTGTGTGTGTGTGTGTGTGTGTGTGTGTGTGTTAGATTTTCCCCACAACAGCCCCAATCCCACCCAGATGAATAGATTCAGAATCAAAGCAGTCTTTGTCCTATTGCAGACAATGAGAGCACTTGAGATGTCCAACATATTAAAGCAATTTTATAATTAGACATTTTTTGTTTTTCCTTGGCCCAATCCCACCCAGATGAATAGATTCAGAATCAAAGCAGTCTTTGTCCTATTGCAGACAATGAGAGCACTTGAGATGTCCAACATATTAATTTTATAATTAAACAGTCTTTTGGTTGGGGTACCCCTTTCATTGTTCTTGCAGCTCCCCTTTTACTGTGCCTCTTATGCACAAGGCTGCCCACGTTGATTGTGGTTGAGCGGCAGCGGCCCACATCCCCGTGTCCCTTCACGGCCCACTTGCACGTTATTTCAGGAGGCAGAGTAAAAGGGAAGGTATGCTCCTGTGCATTTCTCTTCAGACCTTCATACTCCGCTTCATTTCACTTCAGATCGTCAGCTTATACAGTCTTTGTGTCCGTCCTTCATCTTCATACTTCGGTTCATTTCATTTCTGATCTTCATACCGTCTGTTCTCTTAATGATGCTTATTCATACGTTTGTTAGTAGCACAAAGGGAGTGGAGGGAAGGGTGGAGGGTAAGGGATAGAAGGCGGAGTTCTATAGGAGAATGGGACAGGGGAGGTAGGGGCAACGGGAAGGAAGGAAATATGTGGAGGGCAGGACAGAGTATGACATGCAAAGAGCTGGGGAGAGGTGTATGAGGGGCAACGGGAAGGAAAGAAATATGTGGAGGGCAGGATAGAGTATGACATGCAAAGAGCTGGGGAGAGGTGTATGACGAGCTTTACAGATCTAGATATTCACCGCTGAAACAGACTACTCTAGCAAGAAAAACCTATGGCAAGTGGCCACACCTACAGACCCGACAGGACCAGTTCGGGTGTGGGCTATGGAAGCACCACATCCAATTTTCGCAGTCACAGTTGCTGCATCGAATGGCACGGTGCAGACAGATGTCACAGGCTACGTGGCTCGTACATGCTAGGAACCCAGAGGCATGTCGACCGCAATTATAGAGGCATTGCCGTTCCGGCCCCTGTCTACAAATTGGACATGACATGTCGGGGTGCTGTACATGAGTACAGTTGCAATCAGACTCGCTTTCATTCACACTTCAAATGGCTGTGGCGGCCACTCAGACCTCAGAGATATAGTACCAAGAACGCAGCTCAGATACAAGTTCACTTCAAACGGCTGTGGCGGCACACCGCCTGTACAACTCTCTGTTCGTCACTTACTCAACACTGCTGTTCGCACACAGGATCACCCTGGATATCCCACACACATCACACTCTATACACACACACACCCGCACACATCTACAGCTATGGCGGCTATGGCCGCTGCTACCCTATCGCTCTGACTAAGCTTCCTTCTCGCCCACTTCGTCTCCGGGCTCACTGCAGACCACCTCGCACAAGTCGCTATGGCAGCACTTCCGCATGGCTTACGCAGGAATGAATGAATGGCTGGGCGCTGCCTCTTGATTTATACTTCTGTAACTCGCTGGTCTGCCCTTTTCCATCGGCCCATGGTTCACACAGTCCCTCATGGTACTTGCTGGACTGGACTGGGACTGACTGGACCGGTACTGCTGACTGCATGGGTTGCACCGCAGACTCACTGCAGTCGCACTGCCAACGTACTGAGGTTGGCTCCACCACTTGCCCACTTGCCTCTGCCTAAACGTGAGCCCACTTCGAAAGGCCACTTCCGGGACCTTCCGGAAGTCTGTAGACTTGGCCTTTCGGGTACTGTAGCAGCTACGACCTTGACCTCTCAGGACTGTAGCAGCTACGACCTTGACCTTCAGGATCCCTGCAGCTACGACCTCTACAGGGCTGTGACTCCTACTCGACAGACCTACAGATCGAACCCCTACCACTACAATATCTACAACAGACAACAACAACTGTCAAAACACAGGTCATGGGTTCAAACACTCGGGGTCGACACAGATACTGTACACAGGTAAGGTGAGAACTAGGGATCAAGCCCTGCGATCTGCATTCGCTACTGCTAAAAGGTGAAAACCGTTTCACAGTACTGACTGTCATCGTAAGTATGAAGGAAAAACTCGCATGGACTATCCCTTCATAATCCTCACACCACAAGGCATGCGAACCACATGCTAGTTAAATCTCCGGGGGGTCATCACAAAGCAGCATGGAGCATCTTTCTTGGGCTTCCTCAGTATGTATTCCTTCTCTATGGGCAGACGGCGACAGGGAGGATCGGTCCAAGGCAAGGGCGTTCAGCTGCTGCAGGATTTGATCCGCAACAGCTCACCCTGGTGGTGATAAACTATGAGCACATCTCTCTGCCGGTGGTTCATATAGAAGTCTATTTTCCTCCTCGGACTGCTGTGTCCGTCGTTCGTCTGGCAAGAAAGAGGGAGATCCGTCAGCGGTTGCCATAGGTGTATGACCAACACCGCATGTGGGACATGCTAGGAGAGGATGTGGAGGGTGATGGCATTTGGGATGGTCCACGCAGTAAAGACACTACTTTCTATGACAGCTTCCTGGAAGCATTGACGACACATGGCATGTTGCTGACATGTCATTAGTACGGAAGGCTGACGTGCACAGTTATTTAAGCATGGCAGATCAAGGCCACAACGGCATGCTGGGCAAGTAATCAGGGGGTTGGGGGGATGAGCACAGGACAGGGGATCACAACTTCCGTGTGAGAGGCAAGCAGCGACCATCCCTTCATAGCGTTCGTAGCAGAGGCTATGTCGTGTACATGCCAACCGAACTGCACCTGTGCGACGACAAAACGGCAAGGCACATCCATCATCCTGTGGAGAGGTCCTTTCACTGTTTGTGGTAGAATCAGCCGGATTGCTCTCCGGGAGGCGCAGTGCTTTCAAGTGCTCATCGACATACTGTTCCTGATGGACGAGCCAGACTGAGTGATCCTCCAGCATTTGATGACAGAAAGAGTTAATATTTCCCACTGTGTGCACCCTACCGCCATTGTCCCATAGGGTCCATGAATTATCTGCAAAGGTAACAGCACTGAAGTGACCTGGACGATATAAGATATATGCCCGAATATTCGGATCCCTGCCTGGCATGTGGTTTTGCGGAGCAGGCTGGAACACCCATAAATGCCATAGCCAGGACTTCCATGTTCACACCAGGCGCAGCGCTGTTGTCCTCTGGGCAGACAACACGGTGCTCTTCTTCTATCCAGTGTGTGTGTGTGTCCGTCCGTCTGTCTCTCTCTCTCTCTCTCAGACACATGAGAAAGACCGTTGATAGCCAGAATGGAAGTATGCAGTTTGAAGGGCGTAATAAATATCAAGCAATGAAAAACAACCGCTGGTGACATGGGAGCTGACCAAATCAGGGTTCCACACTGATACTCAACTGCCATAGCTCGAAGCTCTGCCATATCTCTCATTTCTCCAGACAGAAGTGCTGCAACAGCCTTCGGCACTCCAAGGTAAGGGGGCCCGATATTGATACATGCTGCCACATGGTCATTCACCCATGTAGGACCACCACCTCCCCCTGGAAGCATGCCAATCAACAGCCCACCAATCAGGAAAACCAGCTCCAGCTCACCATGTACCATCATCCAAATGGCCATGCTAAAGATAGGAAATAGCAAACAACTACCAAAAGCTTACAAATGCAATGATTGAAGTCTGAGAATTGCACAACTTTCTTAGAACACGCTGACTTTTTAATCTGATTGCTGAGATTTCCGAATCTGTGCCTGTTTTGCTCTGTTTGCTGAGAAAAAATGCAGTCTGACAACCCTGCACATGGCACACATACATCATCACCAAACACACATCATATGTCCATCATCTGGGCAGGATAGGGTGGTCCTACCCAGATGGGAAGGATGGCATACAGACATCATCTGGACAGGGAAAGCACATGGCATACATACATAATATCCTTTTTTATTTTTTTTAATCACGGGCGAAAGCCTTGAGATATCATCGCCAAACAGAATGGCCCCAGGCAATTCCGAAATTCATTCATCTTGTTCCATCTGGACTCGAACTCAAGTCTGCACCTCAACAGTTCATTGGTGTACACAACTGAGCTAGGCCCATTGGTACATAGGTCATATCCTACCCCTGTCCGACAGGAAGTAAGGGTAGGACCAGGGACAGGCGTGAAAGTTAACCGTACCAGACATACCAAGGTTAGTAGGACGATCAGGGACATAAGTAGAATTTGTTACGGACCGGACCCGGTAGAGATATTTCCGTAAGTCCAGTATACTTAGAAGGGTCTGGTAGATGCCCGTTAGGTCATGATGGCGGGATTTAGATAGCTTTGAGCGGTAGATTCAGGTCCTGCAGGTAGATATCAAACTGCAATGCAATCAGACTCGCTTTCTTTCACACCTCACATGCATGTAAACAGGTAGCGCAGCAAACTGGCGCCAAGCTCCCACTCAGAACACAGTTCAGATTCAAGCTCACTGCAGATGGCTATGGCGCATCAGCGCCTGTACAACTCTCTGTTCGTCACTCACCCAACTCTGCTGTTCACACACAGGATCACCCTGGATATCCCACACGCGTCACACTGTACACACACACACACACACACACACACACACTACACCCTTCTCTCAGCTATGGCGGCTATGGCCGCTACTACCTCTACTGCTATGGCTAAACTCTCCTTCTCGCCCACATTGTCTTCGGGCATACTGCAGACCACCTCGCACAAGTCGCTGTGGCAGCGCTCCCGCATGGCTTACGCAGGAATGAATGAATGGCTGGGCGCTGCCTCTTGATTTATACTTCTGTAGCTCGTTGGTCTGCCCCTTTCCCATGCCCCTGGTGCGTGCAGTCCCACATGGTACTTGCTTGACTGGACTGAGACTGACTGGGACTGGGTACCGCGGACTCAGCACCGGTGGACTTCACCACTTGCCCACTTGCCTCGGTCTACTGTGGATAGTACCCGAAAGGCCACTTCCGGACCTTCCGGAAGACCGTGGACTTGGCCTTTCGGTACTGTAGCAGCTACGACCTTGACCCTTCAGGACTGTAGCAGCTACGACCTTGACCCTTCGGAGGAGCTACAGCGACAACTTCTAGAGCTCACTAAGACTCCTATCCGACAGGTCTACAGATCGAGCCCCTATAACCTACAGACCTACGACAACCTACCAACTGTGGGGAAAGACACAGGTCGTGGGTTCAACTCCTGGGGTCGACACAGATGCTGTACACAGGTAGGGTAAGGACTAGGGATGGAACCCTGGGATCTGCATCGGCTACTGCAAAGGTGGAATCCGTTTCAGCAATGATATTCTTGCCAAAAAGCGGGAACACCTGGTACGCCTAGTGCAGCCAAGAGAGATCAGGTAGAGGTAGGAAGTGTCCGGCCAGGAAGTACTGGAGGCCAGGGAGCAAGGGCACATCATTTGGCACAATGAGTAGCCCCCTGATTTTACCCGGCAGTCCCTCCAGCAGTTGAGGGCGAGGAAGAAGACCTCTACGGCTATGGAGGAAGAGTAGTGGGAGGTAGGAGAAGGCCTAAGTTATAGAGGTACAGGAGAAGACCATCCAGCCAGGCTATGGAGGTGAGTTCGAGGTTAAGGAGGAGGAAGGAGGTGGAAACCACCAAGAAGACTTACCTTTGGCCATGGTGCACTTGCATCTTCATCTTCCTGGTTGGCACTGCATCAAGAAGGCCCCTGCTGGGGTACCGGTTGGACTTGGAGTTCATCCAGAGGGTAGCTACAGCAGTAGATGAGAGGAGTGGCATCCTCGTAGTTGAATTGACCATTTAACATCTGCGCTGGGCTCGGATGAGCCACCATAGCTGGTAGCCATAGCAAGTGGACAGGAGTGGAAGGACGCTAAAGGCGAGCTCTTCCTGTGCTGGCAGTAAGGGAAGAGGTGCCAGCACCTCCACTATATCCTTTTTGGCTTTATGTTTCAAGAACTTCAGGTCCTGAATCTGCCTGGATACATGACCCGAAACAGAGCCCAGAGTTTCGAGGATAACCATCTAAACTTCGCTGCAATTGAATTTCAGGCTTCACCACCATAAAGAGATGCATAAATATACGAGGACCAAAACCACACCTGACCAACTGATGCCTTAGTGCATCATCATCACAAACTGAGAAAAGCCCGAAGGTTTTCATGCATACCACCGAGCACTTTACAGAAACTGAAGAGTAGAATATGACAGGGAGGGAAATGATCAAAGAAAATGAGTGACTCAGGGATAGGGGTTTGGGGCGAGGGGGGAGAGGGGGGGGAGTACGGGGCTGGGAAGGAGGATTGGCAATCCTGGCCTTTGCTCACCTAAAGGAGCAGGTGTCTCAACCCATTTCATAAAGTAGTAAAACATCAAGGCGCCCATACTGTGTGGCACGACAACCACCTTCTGGTTATCGTTTGTCACTTTCAGAGTTTCAATCGCGCTTTTCAGCCTAGTCATTGTGCGATCACGAATCTGTAGAACCCAACACATATGATGATCAAGATAGGTCAGATGTTGCCTCAGGAATTCTCAATTTCTCATAATGATACATTGACAATTCTGTTATTAATACCTGCCAAGCGGCTGAATTTGACACGCATGCAACTATTCATCACGCGGTGTGCTGGTCGAGAGTTTAAATACCTATTGAATGCAGCAGTGATGTCAAGGGCTACAACCCCTTCAGAAAGAATAACAGGTGTCTCAACCCATTTCATAAAGTAGTAAAACATCAAGGCGCCCATACTGTGTGGCACGACAACCACCCTCTGGTTATCGTTTGTCATTTTCAGAGTTTCAATCGCGCTTTTCACCCTAGTCATTGTGATAGGTCAGATGTTGCCTAAGGAATTCTCAATTTCTCATTATGATACATTGACAATTATGTGACTAATACCTGCCAAGCGGCTGAATTTTACACACATGCAACTATTCATCACGCGGTGCGCTGGTCGAGAGTTTATATACATATTGAATGCAGCAGTGATGTCAAGGGCTACAACCCCTTCACAAAGAATAACAGGCGTGCACATTAAATGGGCCTTTTACTTGATTCAGACCCTGAATGACGAATGCAGCATAGTGAGGTCACTCGGCCAGAACCCAACTCGTGAAAAGCAGATCAAAAGGCATGTTCTCTGGGTCAAAAGTCACGTCCTAATTGAAGCAAAAGTCATGTCAAAGGTCACGGTTGTACCCCTGGACGAACAGATGCAGTATTCAAAGACACATCTGTTCATCCAGAGGGTAGTAGGTGTCTGTTCGTGCAGTGCATGTGTCTGTTCGTGCAGTGCATGTGTCTGTTCAGGCAGTAGGTGAGTCTGTTCGGACTGAAGTTGTGTCTGTTCAGAGGAAGTCAAAGATCAGGTCCCAGTCCACTCAAAGTCTAACATGAGGTCTAGGTTCAGACCCCAAGTCCAAAATTCAAGCCTGAAAGCCGAAGCAGCAGCAGACCCTGAAGGAAAAGGTACTGGGACACACACTGCAGAGGTCTGGGACAGGGAAGACCCAAGTGTGCCAATGCAGGCCTCGCGAAGGGAGGCCAGCAGTATAAGAAACCAAGCCAGCCTCCCCACACGGCAGATCTCCAGTGGCATTGTTGTGTGGAAGTGCTGAAGGCACTTGTGCGCTAGCATGCTAGGGAAGCGCTGGCAGAAGAAGCTGCGCAAGAGGAAAGAAGGGGCTGGGCGCTGGCTGGCAGAAGCAGCCATAGCTGCGCCAGCATGTTAGTAGAGATAGAAGAGTTAGAGGTAGTCTTCAGTGAGTAGCATTCAGAGTAGATTCTCGCAGTAGGAGTGTGCATGCATGGTAGGACGAGAGGACCAAGACAAGGGATCTTGAGAGAGAAGAGCAAGAGGAGAGAGAGAGGGACAGGTTCCTGAGTTGGCTATGGTGGCCTGTTCCGCGCTGCATTGTCATCTGGAGGAGGCGCTGGCAGAGCCAGGCCCCTAAGTGGTGTGTAGTGAGGAGGGTGGGGACGAGTGTGTTGGTGACCCAGGAGGTGAGGGGATCGCCAGGAAGGCTACGTGGTGTTAATGCGGTCTGGACAGTGTGATGAGAACTATCTAATGTGCGATTGATGCTGAGGTGGAACAGCGAGATAATGCTGGTTGTGCCGATGCAGTGACTGGTCATCGCAATCGCCATTTGGTCATCTGGTGAGATTATCTCTGTGGTTGGGGGCAGCTATTTGAGGTACGTTGCTCTTAACCTTATCTACCCTCTTTGACACGTCTTACCGTGAGGTTGTGTGTTCCTTCTTGAGAGTCCTCTCATCGTGAGGTGTCGAGTGCGCTCACGTGGAGCATCTGGGTGGAGATGGGCGGAGCTTTCTGAAGGGCCCTGGACGAAGCACTGGGTCACGGTCACCATGCCAACCCACAGGGAGTAGAGCACGCACACCTTGCTGCTTGTCCTTTGTTCGGCTTGCTGCGCTGTTAGATGGGTACTACTGGGCAGGCCAGCCCTACAGGAAAGACGAGCTCCCGGCGTCTATAAATAAACACGGGAAGGGGATATCGCTGGCTGTGATCGTCGTCCTGCTGCGACCTAAAATAATTCCTGATGTCACTTGGGGGCGGACGTTAAAATGCCTCTAGATCAGCCAGTGATGTAAGGCTCGCGGCACGCCGAGGATAAATATACGTGCAAGGCTGGCCAGCTCAGTGGATACTTGGGGCACAGGGGTGGTCCGGACACACACACCTTTAGACACGCGACGCTCTCCAGATCGCTCAGGGACACTGACGTCAAGAGATACTCAGGGGAACTAAGGGAGGGGTTGATTCCAGGTGATAAGTTCGAGAAAATTCCATGCTGTCCTATCCACACAAGTGATTCTATTTTTATGTTTTTGATTAGTTAGATGTACTGCCATTGACATCTGACAGACAACATTAGTTAGAACTGTTTATTGTTCCTGGTGCTTCTGTTTGCGGACTAGTCAGACTAAAAATAGTTTCAGTTGTAGGAATCTGACTTACCTGTTGACCTCAAGTGATATCTGTTCCGAAATAGCCACGAACTAATTAGGTGGTATGTGCACTATGTTGCGGTAGGCATCTTGAATGATCTAGTGTAGACAGTGCACAGTGTTGTAGCCTATGAGCGACGAGGAGGACATCAGAGAGGACGACCGAAGGATTTTGCGATCAGGTAGACACCCGATAGCCCACGTGTCCTTAGGACCGGAGGGTGATAGGATTCTGTTCCGCCGGCTTAGGGAGAGGCAGCAGCAGCAGAGGAGGGCTAGAGAAGCCGAGACCAGCAGAACTTTAGTTAGCGAGGCCGGTGCTACAACAGCCATGGCCACTACAGCCATGGTCACTTCTGCGCAGCAGACTTCCCAAGTCAGTAGTTCAGGTGTCGTCGGGTCAACGGTCGCGCAGACCGTGAGCCAGTCCACTGGCGTTATGGCAAGCCAGGCCGCGGTGTTGACTCCAGAGGATGTCGCCATCCAGCAGGAAGCCCTGCAGGAGGCACAGCTACAACGGGCATTAGGAGAGAGAAAAACGAAAATGGAAAAAATGATCAGAAGAAGAGCCAGGATGCAGCGGAGAGGGGCAGATATAGAGGAGTTAGAGACGATGGACCTGATGCATATGGATGATGATGTGAAGGTAGTTAGGAGGGCCCTGCTAGGTGTAATAGAGATGCAGGAGCATCAAACTACCATCCTTCAGGACATTCAACAGAGCCTAGCCGTTTTGGCAGGCCGTGCAAAGGCAGCACCATCACCAGCCGGGCCTGGTGCCTGGCCCGTGCCATATCCTCCTTTTTCTGTCCCACCGGTGACAGGGGTATCCTTATATGTAGCCCCATCATCGGTTGCTATCGTTTCCCTGGGCATGCCGCTGTCAGGAGGTGTAACAGCAGGGACTAGTTTGCAGGTTCCTGTTCAGACAGTGTTCACTCAAACTCCGTTGCAGGTTGCAGTCACCACGCAGGCTGCTGTCTCGCAGCCTGTGCAGCCTCAGGGCACGCAGCCCCAGCAGCTAGCACAACAACCTCTGTCACCGGGTCCACAGCCCGGAGTGGTGCAGGGACCGGGACAAACTCAATGGGTTCCAAAGACGGCCATCGACGCTCCCAAACCTTTTACAGGGGATAAGAGGGGCGAAGACCTCGACACATGGTTGAGGGCAGTGCCGGTCTACGTCAGGTGTAAACTCACCTTGCCGCACGAAGAAGTGCTTGTGGCTGCTTCCTACCTAGAGGTCAGTGCAGCAAGATGGCTGAGTGGTTTGGTACAACTCCAGGGGTATGGTCATGACTTCCGCGCTTGGGCGGCCTCCCTGAAATCGGAGGACTTCTTGAAGATGGTGGAAGAAAGGTGGCATGATCCTCAGGAGGCCCAAAGGGCCACTGATGCGATCCTCACACTGCACACGCGGCAGTTTAAGTCAGTAAGGGAAGCCACCGACGCTGTTGAGTGTCTGATCTGTGTCCCAGGGGTGAGCTATGACCCCCAGGTCCTACTGACTTCGTACTTGAGATGCTTTTCTCAGCCTCTCAGGAACCAGTTGGCAAAAGAGGCCAACATCAATATGCACAACTTTCCTACATTCAGCAAGGTGGCCCTAGACATTGAAGCTAAGATAGGGCATGGACAGGCACCCACTACGGATGGGAGAAAGAAGACACTGCCTCCCAACTGGCAGGCGAAAGGTCGCATCATGTTTGTCGACAACGATGGTTCAACCATCGAGTTCGACGGCAACTTCCAGGAGGGAGTAGGTTCAGAGGCGGGCAGCGTAGAAGCTTCAGAGGGTGGAGTAGTCGTTGCCGTTGCTCAAAAAGGTAAGGCAACCGATAGACGCCGCGGAGGCTCCCGGTCTAGGAGTCAAGTTGACCCCAATGCTCCTCCATGGGAGAAAGCGGGTCTTGCAGAGGACGTGTGGAGAGACCGTTACTCACGGCAGGCCTATATTCGTTGTGGTCAATATGGCCACAACCAATTCAAGTGCCGCAATAAGAAGGTGACGGAAAAGATCCCGCCCACGATGGGGCAGGCGGTAGGATCCTCGCATCCCGTTGGTAGCAATGTTGTCAGTTCTTCACGCAGTGCTCCGGGAAACATGTCCGACCAGTAGGAATTGTAGCTGGTCCTACTAGGGTCGAGGTGGTGGAGACACCCTCACCATCTCGAGAGATGGCCCAAGCTACTGACTCCAGCGTCGTCCCACAAGCACATTCGGACCCATCGGGCCTCTGTTCGATGAATGTGTTTGAGTCCTTAAAGGAGCTAGTAGTGGAGTGGTCTAGATCAGACCCGCTAGCTTCTTGGACGGCCTTAAACAAAGCCCCTAAGGGTGAGATGTTCGTCAGCGAGGTTGTCATTGGCGGCCGCAAGGCCGGGGCCTATTATGACACTTGCTCGACACGGAACTTTATTGGTCGTGGGTGCGTTGAGAGGCTGCGCCTACAGGGGCAAGTGGAGCGCCTGAGTCGACCTGTGGAGTCGACCTGTGGAGTCGACCTGTGCCAACAAACAGCGCATGGTAGTCAACGACTACCTCCAAAATGTGGATTGTGTTTTGCCGTACGCGAGAGGGGACTTTAGACATCGTGTCTCGTTCCTAGTAAGCGACAAACTCCCATGGATATGTTGTTAGGTATGTACTACCTCTCTGTGGCACAACCCCAGTTTGACTGGAACCGAAAAGTGGTCAAACACACTTTGCCAGGTGGAGGGACCGCCAGATTACACAAGTTCAAAGCTAGTAGTCTGATTGAGTCCTACGGGTGCATGAGTGCGGACGCGTTCTACAATTATTATAAGCAAAATCAGGAGGAGGGTATGTATTTAGTTTATGTCTCTGCTGCAGGCGAGCCGGTGAAAATGCCGCCGGAGATAGAGGGAGTAGTTG